TTGAGGCGTGAGCCCGCCGGCCGTGCGGCCGCTGGCGCTCGATCGCTTCTCCAGCTGCTCCATGTCCAGGTCGAGGGTGTCACTGATGTACGACTCGCGGTACTGCTTCTTCTCTACGAGGCCAGCGGCACGCCGTTGGCACCTGGCAGCCGGCACCCCAACCCCTCGGGGTACCCTGCCCCACCCTGGGAATGGCATATCACCCCCCCACCTGCCTCAACCCCGGGCACCCAGGAGCACCCCGGGGTACTGTCACCCAAACCCAGCAGGGTGGCACACCAGGAGCCAGTCCTGTCCTGTCCCGGTGGCATTTGGGGTGGTGGGGTGGGGAGCCTCGAAGTTGTTGTGCTCTGTGCTGTGTTGTCCTTCCGAAGGAGGAGGAGGAAGAAGAGGAGGAGGAGGAGAAGGAAGAGGAGGAAGAAGAGGAGGAGGAGGAAGAAAGTGAGGAGGAAGAGGAGGAAAAGAAGAGGAGGAGAAAAACAAGAGGAGGAAGAAGAGGAGGAGAAAAACAAGAGGAGGAAGAAGAGGAGGATGAAGATGAGGAGGAGGAGGAGGAAGAAGAGGAGGAGGAGGGGAAAGAGGAAGATGAGGAAGAGAAAGAGGAAGAGGAGGAAGGGGAAGAGGAGGAAGAAGAGGAGGAGGAGGGAGAAAGTGAGGATGAAGATGAGGAGGAGGAGGAGGAAGAAGAAGAGGAGGAGGAGGGGAAAGAGGAAGATGAGGAAGAGATAGAGGAGGAAGAAGAAGATCTTATGCTTGCACAAGGGCTTTCTGAGCTTGCAGCTGGGACGCGGGGCACTGGGAAGCGCTGCATCGAGGCACTGGGAGGAACTGGGCCACCAGGGACCTCAGCAGGGCTTGTGTCCATCCCTAAGCAGCCGAGGGGGCAGCTGTGGGCACCCAGCCCACCCAGGAAAGGGTTTGCGTGTTGGGCAGGACCCGGGCGTACCGATGCCCAGTGAAGGGGGACGTGGGGACAGCCATCCCCCCCGACACCCTCCCAGCCACGGAGCTGGCACAAGGACCAGGCGCTCGTACAGGCACA